TGTAGTTAGTGGTTTAATAAGACGTAAAAATTTCTTCAGGGCTCGAAATGCAATAATGTTTCTTCGACTGGTCACGGCGTGTAACGATACGAAACCTGCGAAAAATGCAAAAACTATTAAAATTACAGAAAATGTGAAGGTTGCTTCGCGTGCAAAGTATTCGGAGGCGGGGGCGTGTGAGCCTCGTACGTCGAATTCGCGCACGTGCGGGCAGGTGGCTCATCTCCGAACGGCGTTTGGCCTTCCATTCGCCACACACTGCTCATTGACTCACGGCCTTCTGCGGACGCTGTTTTCCATTTTGCGGAACGGTCAAGGCCATCTGCTAGCCTCTGGCAGCTGAGAAGACAACAGCACACAGTGGGCCGAATCGAAACCGAAAGCAAACCTTACGATGCCCTCAACTTTCAATTCAAGCATTACAATCGACAAACAGAAATAAAAATACATAAATAAAAATAATGCAATCCATATTAAATAAAATTGTAGTGTCTGACTGTGGTCGCAAAATAGCTTTCTTTTATAAAGTTCTCGGGTTATTTATATGGTATAGAAACAACTTCAAGTGCTTTTACATTTTTTTGACTCTTATCGACTGTCATTTGCTAGAGCTAATTTCGGGAATGGCTAAACTGATTTCGATCGAGTTTTTACCGAAATGTAGCCTAATTTTTGAAGCAAACTAATATAAATTCTTTTTTCCGATTTTTTATTTGAAGAAAAGTTTGTTCGTATTTTTTCACATCAACAATTTTTTCCAATGTTAATGAAGTTGTATACTTGATCTTCAAAATCATACGTTATTGTTTACATAAGATTCTGTAAAAACTAGCATCTCCCTTTCATATTCCTTAAAGTATTATGTAAGCCTGCACACTTTCAGTTTTTCGCAAATATCTTGAAACCGGTGACGAAATCCAACAAGTTTGACTATAAGGAGGGTTCTCCTGTTTTTCATCCTCTCATTCCATCCTTCGTTCGTCATTCCTCTTATTATTATCGCTATCATCTGCACATTTGATTATCTCATTTGCGTCAATTACCAATATCAACAAGGGGCTCTAACACCCAGTGAATTAATGATTCACAGATTTAGTAATAAAGTAAAATTTTTAAGTGGGAAGTTAGAAAATAGATACTGTAGAGTGATGTCACTAGCAGTGCAGGGAAGAGTTTTGCAATAGAAGGGTAAAGTAACAGTAGTCGAGAATACAAGTTCTAATATATTTATTAGAACTGTACGAAACTGTTCCGAATAAGAGAAAGTGCGTGCCTTAGTTTTATTCTGTCTTTGCTGCAGTCGCCTGTACGTTCATTTCGGTCCAGTGTGTATTGCGGAGGTGGGGGGGCGCAGAGACTCGCCTCCGATCACGTTCCTCTGCTTGTGGTTTCTCGCCGAGCAAATTGGCCCGCGCGAGTCAATTTGCAAGCCCCGCGAGGTGGACTTGGGACCGGCAAGGACGTGCTCGGCAGACGAAGTGGCCGCGAGATGAACGCCGAGCCACGCGTCTAAAAATACGAGTGACTGCGGCGGCGCGCGGGGTGCTCTGACGATTCGCCAGCGCTGGACGGGGGAGGGGAGGGGAGGGGGGAGTGCGCGGAACGGTAGTACGTGTACGTGCGCTTCGTGCGCTGTCGTTGTTTTTCGTCGTTCTTTCTCGCCGCGAGAGAAGTCTAAAAGCATTGGATGTTCTCAAGACTTGCGTTTCTTTTTAAGATGTTTTTGTAATGACTGTAGACTTCGTAGGAGGTATAAATAACGGGTTATACAATCCAAATGATATTTTATCATACGTACTGTTTATCTTTGGTTTTCCACTACGTGAACAAACCACACAAATGACAATTTATGCAATATTGTGATAATTACAATAAATTCAAATTTATTTTGTGCAGGATATATTGATTGATGGCACACACATCATAAGGCCAGACTTATAACAAATTTCAGACTTTTCAGAACAGTTTCTAGCAACATTGAAACACACGCCTTTTTATTGAGTCAGTAATTGCGAGGTAAGATAAGTGTTTTCATTGCGCATATTTCCTCTATTACCTTTGTATGTTTGTATGAATATCTTTAACTTATGTACATCGTATGTACGTATGTATATCTTCTCTTGATGGTTTACCAGAAAATACATTTAATATGCACTGTGAATATGAGAATTCAAGTGGATTCGTAAACGGAAGGAAGGAATATAATATTTATGGCATCCCTTTTGCTGTCCTTAGGAATATAAGTACTCGAGTACAACGATCATTCCTATGTGTGATTAACTCCTAGGTTACCTTGTAAATGGCTGCGATGTAATAATTCTAAGTCCCTACTTCATTCCACTAATGCAATATCTCTCTCCTTTCTATTCCAACTTCGCTGTTCTGCTGGAACTCGAAGATGGTAATGTGAAGCTGCATCGTACGGTTTCATCTCCAATGCGCTACAAGAAACTTCTGTACAACGAATGACTATTCAGTAATCCTTCATTACTTGCAAGTAAACACTGCTATGTTCGAAGAGGCTTATTTCATAAAATCGCGAGGCCTTCCCCTTACCAAACGTTGGTTGTTTCCCTTAAACTAAAAATCCCACTTTTACATACTGTGAAATTGTGCCGTAGCTAAAGTACGTTCTTATCCTCAGTACCGCGGAATGACGATGAAATAAATAGTTTGAAAGCGCAGTAGGGAGAGACATTACCTCAATTTTAAGGGAATATGTAAGACAATGTTTCGAAATGTACGTGCTATATTTACTTCGCACTTACTTGACCCAATTTATGTTCTGTTCTTTAAGCTAAAGCGAACAGATTCATTTTAAAATTGTAAGAGGTGTCTCAAGACGTAAACGCAAATTGTGTTAAATGAAATATGAGCCAAGGCCTCATGACACAAGTAAGGAAAACATTGTCGGCAGAAAGAAACAATATGTATTACCTGAATACAAATAAATTACTTGAAAGCTGTGATAAACGTTGATAACCGTACAACTACTAAATTTGATCTGCAGTCTGAGCACCCCCTATGTGTAAAATGAATTGTTAAAACCTTCTACAAAATAGTATAACATTCCATTAATGACAAGAGAATTTTGAAATTCAGGCAAAGTGTCGCTGCTACTGAGAAAGATACTACACTTCATCAAAATTTCATCACATTCCCCAGGGCTAGCAACCTGGGTATAAAAATGGAATCAGCATTAGAAAGTAAAGTGCACCTACCCGAAATAAAGTCTGAGTCCCTGAAATGCATGTATTGCTTGGTTTCATGATGGCCGATATGCGGAACAAAAAATATTACGAAAATTAAAATAACAAAATAATAATAATAATAATAATAATAATAATAATAATAATAATAATAATATATGCGCCCGACACACGATTAGTTTTGCTGCTACAGTTACGCTCGTGTATGTCATGTTATGCACATGACGTCATCAAATATCACAACAAATAAATTGACTGGAGCAAAATGATTTTTCCGATCGCTTTTGACCGTCTTCAGTTCGAACGTGCGGTGGCTGGTTGTCACTTTGGAGATCAGTTTAGGCCAATATGATGATACAACGTCGAATTCTTATAACAGTGTATATAACATATACTACCCTTGTCCCAAACAATTGCTGTATTTCAGAATTTTATTACTATTTGGACTAAATTGAAACTACTTTCTGGACATAAAAGTAGAGTATATTCTTCCTCAACTCAGCCTCGTATATTCATTAGTGGCATTTTCTTCAAGGGACAACTTACTCGTTCTAGTGTTTATGTTTGCTAGAGGGGCTCGAAAGCTGTGACATTGCTACGAGAACGTTATCTCGTGAAAAGAAACAAAAAACACAACATGTGAAGCAACTTCGCTTTCGCTGAACTATCATTTGACATGCAAGTGAATCCCATATTTCTTACCTTTCTTCTCCAGATAATTTTAATTTTTTCCCACCTACATGTGATGGTATCTTAAATATGTGTTGATGTGTTATCTAATATGTGTTAGCCAATCTATTTTATCTATTCTACACATTACGAAGGAGTTTCAAAGGACTGGTTACGTTTATGGATTATCACTTTTATCCTATACCTCAGTTCATTAATAATTCAATGCCTTTAAAGAGTACAACATAATATGAAATATCGTAAATTGTTCAAATAATTATCAGTTTTTCGACGAAGTTAAAATACAAAACCTGGAGCAAATTTTCTTACTATTGCATCGCCGATCTTCCGCATGCGGCAAATAAGCGAACGGCTGCTCCTGTGTACCTCTGGTAACACTGTACAACTGGGTCAATTTTGGTACAAGTTGGCTACTTTCTTGACTTTTCTGACATTTCTACATACTGCAGATGTAACTCTACAGTGAGAAAGAAGTCTTAAAAAAGAAGAGAAAAATAGCCTAACCAGGTAAGTGAGGAGGAGAAGTGTCAGAAAAAGGGGGCTAACATTTATGCACTATATTACAACACGGAATACGCTGAGCTTAGAGCTTTTCCCGGCTGCTATTCGCCGCTGGCAGAGATCCCTGGAGGGAGGAAATCCGCAAGCCGACACGTAGGGTGGCGCTGGATCTCGCTATCCAGCGGGGGCAGAAGCACCGTCCCCCAGGGGGCGGGAGCGAATGGTATAAAACATGCACCTGCTACACTTACGGGTCCTATGACCATCGGTGTAGACGTGCCTGTAATCTGTCAATTGATTTAAGATCAGGTGAAACAGGAAGCCAACTCTTGGGAAGTAAAGTCGGCTGTCCCATGTTGTAGATTTACTGCATATAAAATATCATCAGGCCTAAAATAAGCCTCTGGGCTAAATGGAAATCGCCTCCTTCGGCGCCCGAGTAATACATCCTTTCTACGCTAGATGGCGGAAGGAGCGTAGCGAATATTGCGTGGTCAGGGGGCGCGCGTCTCGCCGCGTATAATTAGGCATTGCGTAATGTGTTGGTGCGGTGCGGTGCGCTGCGCGCGTGTGCGCAGGCTGCGCCTGTCGCGCGACCAGGTGACGTTCGGGCTGCCGACGGTGGACGTGCGCGGGTCGCCGCTGGGCGCCAGCTGCCCGCTCGAGGTGGACTTCCCGTGCCAGCCACGCAAGTACCGCGCCTTCTCGGGCTACTGCAACAACGTGCAGAGCCCGCACTGGGGCGCGGCCAACACGCGCTACCTGCGCTTCCTGGCGGCCGACTACGGCGACGGCGTCAGCCTGCCGCGCGGGGTGCGCGTGACCGCGGGCGCAGCCGGCGCGCCCGCCCTCGGCGCCGTCGTTCTGCCCTCCGCGCGCGAGGTACTGTACGCACAGCCACCGTCACCGCTTCTGATTCTAACAGCCTTCCAAGAACAATAGAAACAAAGTAGTGGGCGCTAAAGATGGCGTATGTTGTGCACATGTAAATTTCAACCTACATTTTTACTGAATAGGTGTTTAATTATTTATGTGTGTACATGCATAACAAGAGATTTGTTAAAAATTATATACATCGAAAATTAAATTACTTAATATCATTCATTCACTGAAATAATAAGTAATTATGTAATATATGAAAGAAATTTCAATACGAAATGAATTATAGCTTGTTATAAGTCACTCATTGCATTCTTACCAGAAATATGCTAACAAAAAAGTAATTGGCATTAGAACAATACTAGTAAAAATAATTTGTTTAGGTGTATGTTATGTATAAAACGGGAGAGGGAGATGGAGAGAAAATGTTTTTTTTTTAATTACGTATTATACACAGATTTTTATGATCATTTACCTAATGAACTTCGCATTATTTGAGATTTTCGTATTCAAGGTAGTTTCGTGCACATTTACCTCGGATAATTGCGAGTCTTTTCTATTCGATTTCATTACAATGAATTAAAAATTATTTTGATACAAAATAAACATTTTATGAAAATAATTCTTGAGATTGAAATATTGTTATAATTGTTGTATTATTAATATAAATCTTTATAATGCATTTTTAAAATGTACATTTATTTGCGCATAAATCAAAGATAAATTGTAATGTCTATCAATTTTCAATTTATAACATACTCGTGGTATTCATTTTCTTAATCTTCCAATTTTTAATTACGATACTTTGAATTAAATAGAGAGGGGGAGGGTCAATGTACAACAATCTTCACAGGGAGTGTTTGCTAGTGTTTCAAGTTATTAAAAAGTGGGAGGTGTTAGGCATAATTTTAATTTTGTGAAACTACTTTCTGAATGGACCTAAAGATTAAAAGGCATGAACATAACCAGATTATGGCTGATATTTCGCCCTTCCACCGCCTTAGAAATAGGGTGAGATCTATAATATACAAAATATAGGCAGCTATAAAATATCGAACCAAAACATATTAAACTTTAAACATTTCATATGTAGTAAACATATAAATGTTCACGAAGTAATTACAATCAGTAACACATTATATACGCATTATAGAAATATGCAATGTATATGTATATTATACATGTCTTTTAAACGTATTGCATACTTAGTAAAGTAACGCTATTAATTATTGTTAAAATTTGAAAACAGTTACATGATTCTAATTGCTATGAATCTATAAAAGAACAAAAAACGTCCTTTCTGTCTCGAGCAAGTCTTAACATAGACGTTGTTACTTTCTCGTAAATTTTAAATCTAGCTCCTCCTCAGAGTGTCGCGTATTTTTTTGCTAATTTTTTCTCTTGCATCCTGACATTAACGTTCCGCTTTACTTAATTAGGTTTCGCTTCCCTTTAATGTATTTTTCTCTCATCGACTCCACAGGTGTCCCTGACTGTGCATCGGGATGCAGACCTCCCGCACCCGCATCTCATGGCGCTGGCCGCCGTGTGGGGAGAATTCATTTCGCACGATCTAGCACACTCGCCGCAGATGACAGGTAGGTCGACAGTGGCGCTTAACGCGGCAAGCCGCCGAACTACGTAGTAGGCACGCGTGCGGACGCAGCGCAGGCGGTGAGGCGCCATTGTGAACCGACTCGCCTGTTTTCACATGCAAATGTTTTTACGTAGTATTTATAGTAATAGACGCACAGTATAGATGTTGCCTGTGAGAGAAGATCTCTTTTCACGCACAAAATAGAACTACATATTTCTCGCGAATACACAAGTTCAAATATATACGACTTTTCAAGCTTTTTTCGAACTACTATTAAACATAACATAACTAGTATATCTAGCGTAAAAAGACATGACCATTTCTGTTAAATAGAAATGTGAGACAATTGTAGCTTTATGAACTTTCTTTATGACCTACAAGATATTAGAAACAACGAAATAGAAATATTAATATTATTTTGATGTATGAACTAGACTTATTGACAATTATTTAACGTTGAGTTGGGATTATTGGCTAAAAGTTTAATTTTGTCTCTGAGCATTTCCTAAAACATATCCTGTAGTAGTTATATACATTTTCTAGTAAAATGTTAAATATAAACCAGGTCTTTATCTAATTGAAATCGTTCTTATTTTCAGGATTTCAGGGTAAAAGATTGAAGTGCTGCAGCGTAAATTTCAGTGACTTTCATCCAGAGTGTTTCCCTATTCGCATACCAGACAGAGACCCTGTGTATGGGAGGACAGGAGAAAGATGTCAGGAATACACTCGCTCTGCCACTGCCCCTCGCACTGGCTGTACTCTCGGTAATACGTCTTGACAATTAATTAGTAATAACAATAATAAATACTATAATAATATATAATAATAAATACAATAATAATATATAAAAATTAATATTCTGTTATTTTATTACTTATGACTAGCCAAAGCTATTTTATCCTAAAATTATTATTATTATTATTACTATTATTATTATTATTATTATTGTTATTATTATTGTTGTTGTTGTTGTTGATGTTGTGTTTGTTCTGGTAGAGGATATTTACAGATATGATCCCCAAAGGTCCTCCAATTAACTTTTTAATTTGGATTATTAACTTAGGAACTGAAACATTCTTCCGTTTCTCTTCTATTATTTTTTTATTTCTCCTGAAACTGACAAAGTGCACTTCATGAATAGGTAAATGATTTTTAAAATGTACAACTTTTACAAAATAAACCTCAATAATAAATAATAAATGTAACTTCAAATTAACGTCTTTCCAAAACTCGTCACACACAGTTTTTAACTGTTTTTGACCTAAATAAATAAATACATAAATAAAATAAATGTATCTTCGTTAAAAGTTGCAACCTAAATTAAAGTTATATGTATCTCTTACTTATTGGAAAGCATTATTTGATAAATATTTTCTATTGCAAACCACATGCAGATACAGTTGCAAGATTGAAATGCATCTTGCTAAAAATATTAATATGTTCGTTTCATTGCAGGCCCAAGGGAACAAATCAACCAAGTCACATCTTACTTAGATGGCTCTGTAATATATGGTAGTTCAAGAGACGAAGGTGATCAACTTCGGACATTTCACAAAGGTCAATTGAAAACTCAAATCTCAAAAGGAGGAAAGAGTTTGATGCCCAGTGAAGACAGGAATTCTGACTGCAGGCAAGACAGCGTATTCAAGTAAGTAAACGCCATGTATAGAAAAGGAAAGAATTTTTCTTCTCGTGACACTTCAAAGACGGTAAGAATAGTTTTGAAGTATTCCATTCAAATAATGATGAGTTAAAATGTATGCAGTCTACTGCAAACCATTACGAAGTGTAAATGGCCTTGACTGTTGTTACTTCATTTTGAGGCAATGTGCATTTTAAACTAACCGGCGCACTTATTAAAGGTGCTTCAAGGCAGGAGACATGCGCGCCAACGAGCATGTTGGCCTCACAGCAATGCACACCCTGTGGGTTCGAGAGCACAATCGCATAGCCGGAGAGCTGGCCCGCATGAACTCGCACTGGGGGGATGAGACGCTCTTCCAAGAGGCGAGGCGCGTCGTGGCCGCAGAGATGCAGCACATCACCTACACGGAGTATCTGCCTGTTGTGCTGGGAGAAGTAAGACGACACGCAATTCAGACATCTGGAGAGCTGTATCTAAAATGTTGTAGTTCCCAGATTTATGTAAGCGAATCTATTACAGAAGCTGACAGTGTTTGTTAACTCGAATTTCAGAATATAATGGATAAATATGGACTGCGGCCCCTCTCCTCGGGGCATTTCACTGGCTACGACATAAATCTTAACGCAGGGATTGCAAATAGCGTGGCCGCTGCTGCTTTGTGGTTTGTGGCTTCCTTGGTGCCAAAGAATCTCGGAGTCTTTGATCAGGTTACTTTCATCTATTGCTTCCAACGTATTGTTTTAATGAGTTGCCTCTCTGTCAAAAAGATTGAATTATTCTCGCTTCCTTCCAGACCGGGAGGCAGATCGGCGAGAAGCCAATCGCCGCCTCCTTCTACGCGCCCTTCCAGCTGTACGAGGCCGGGGGCTTAGACGGCGTCTTGCAGAGCTTGCTCCACGGCGCGGCGCAGCGGGAGGACCAGTTCATCAACGAAGTGATGACGAATCACATGTTCCAAGACCCAAAGAAAGGTCAATAAGAAATACGTAAACAAATTAAACTCAAACAACGACATTTTTAAGAACGCAATGTATATTATTATAATGTCTCTGCGTGCAGGAAGTGGTCTGGACCTAGCTGCCCAATTAATTCAACATGGCCGTGATCATGGATTGCCAGGGTACACAAAGTGGAGACAGTTTTGTGACTTACCCCCAGTCAATAATTTCCAAGATCTTACCAATGTCATGTCTACAGATGTCGTAATCCAGATGAGTAAGGTGTACAAGTAAGTTGAAAGTACGAGATGTGTACAAGACGTTCATAGATTTGATGTTCAATTTTATTACATTTACCTAAAAAGTTCAAATAGATAGCGAGTTAACGCAATAGTGCAACTGTACGTCTATCAAGTCTTCACGCACTATCAAACGGTGCGGTATGCATTCGTGTTCTTACTTTTTTGCGCCTTGTGATTTTGCATGGACGGACCACCACAAGCTACTCAAATCATTCTTCACTTCATTCTTACTTATATCTTTCTTACATAAAATACGTTAAGAAAATATTATATCTTATACAAACACAATAGAAAACAACGTAAATGTTCCACTGCCTTGTATGAAATTACCCGTTGGAATGAAATAAATAGATTTAAAACGAGAAATTTATGTTTGTAGAGAATGCTCCAAAAAAGTCAGCAAATACACAAGCAATCTGATACGCTACAACACACAATCGTGCATGCAACAATCGTCCATACACGAAAACGGTGCTTTTTATGCCTTTAAAATATTGAAATGTTTACTCATACAAAATGTCGGCTCTGTCTATTTATCTATTTAACGTCAAGAACTGTACATGCCTTTTGGGAGGGAAGAAAGATAAATTTACTGTTCAGAAGGAAAACAAGTGCAATCTCACCTGCTCAATGTACAAAGGAAAACTGAAAATAAACGATCAAGATAATGGACATAGATTCAGAGGTTGATCACAGTAATTTTTTCACAGTTTTCAGTGTTTTAGAATATAAAAATTGTGACTAACGTTTTAACACTCGTACAGCGTACGTCTAGTATGAGTTAACGCACAGTTCAGGTCCTGGTCGTTTGAAGATAGGTTCCGTTAGCTATTTTCAGTTTTAAAACAATGATTTACGAAGTGCGCGACGTTTTTACGGGTCAAATCAAGACGCTCAGCAAATATTATTGCTGAGAAAAAGAAGTTTCGTAGATTCAGGGTCTTAACTCACTCCAACTTGGTTTGTGATGCTTATGAGAAGAAACCTCTAAACTTTTGTCTTGTCTGATCAGGGATGTATCAGATATTGATTTATTTACTGGAGCCCTGGGAGAAACTCCACTTGAAGGGGCAGTAGTTGGACCTACTTTTGCCTGTTTATTGGGTCGTCAATTCCATTATCTTCGAAGAGGAGACAGATATTGGTATGAAAATGATCTGCCACCATCGTCCTTCACAAAAGGTACATTTTTATGAGTGATGTGTTTTATTCTCAAATATATAGTTGCTTTTTAGGCAGTGTTCCTTAATTCACTGTATTTTTAACTACCAATCAACAGAACAATTACATGAAATTCGCAAAGTTACCTTGTCGAGGGTAATTTGCGACAATGCCGATACCATGCCTGAAGTGCAGCCATTAGTATTCTTGAACAAGGATCCATTTTTGTAAGTATTTTCAGTAAGTTCAATTCTTTGCTTCGTCGAATTCATATTATTCACGAAGCATATTAGTACTACTGTTAGTTATAGTCTTCCTTTAGTAAATATTCGGTAATTATATTGCACATTGTCCATCACTGAAAACTGGCTTTTACGACATTCTTTCACAACGCATGCTGATTAAGTGCACTGAGCAGAATCGCGAACGACGTATGTAGAATTAAAAGAAGGAAAATATCAAACGAGGTCTCGGTAGTGAAGTCATGATAACTCTAGCTTCATTAAATATGCCAATTAAAATGTTACTTAACACGCATATTACCTTCTCAGTATTCTAGGGAACACAATTTAAAGAAAAAATATCATTGTTTCCTTATTCTGTGTGAAATCAGTCGGACGAATAACAAGATGAGCTAGCTGAAGAATCATGTTATTAATTCCAGACATACTCATAGATCATGTGCTGAAATAAAATTAAAGTTTTCTTGGTTAAATGATCGTTTTCTGTCTATTAGAATTTCTAATAGCAGTTTGTATTATAGTATTAACTTCCTCCCACACTTGTAAAAAAGTATACATTGCCAGGCTCGGTGTTTTTTCGGGCCATTTGATTCATCAATAGCGTGATGAACTACTTCTATGGGTTCGAAGTCGTTAAGCGCTCAGTTCTCATCTATGATATCAATTAGTCATCGAAAATTAAGCTAATGTTCTCCCGGCGAGGCGAAGTTCTCCGAGGGAAGTACTCATTGTGTAAGCTTACAAGTTCTGGACCTACTGTATTCCAGTGAGAGTCACATCACCCTCATGAAGCTTATCCGATGTTAACAACAATTAAAGAGATCTTACAATAGAGTTTTCTAAAATATTTTAATGCATTTCACATAACGAGTGCACACATAACGAGTGCAATAATACAATTTTTAATGTTATTTATGTGGGTCCCACTTCGAAATTTGGCAGATCGATACAACATTCGTATAGAAATACATGAGTATGTTTTACAATTAATTTAAGTGTCGATCTAATGTAAAAATATTTATTTTAAACATTAAAATATATTTTAATTATTTAAAGAATATGTTTTACATTATATGAAAGTTCATTTTTTTAGTTAAATTTAAGTGTATTTTTATTTTTCTGAAGGCAACGGTATTTGCGCAAGAACCGTAAATATTAGCGCGTGCATGATTTTTTCGAAAAAATAATAGATAATATTTCTGAAAGGGATAAGATTAGAAAAAAAGAAAAGAATACCTGTCACCACTTTTAAAACCTAGACTTCATAAAGAAAGTTTCAATTCGCTAAAAAGTAGTAATGTTTTCTGAGTGCGCGATTTGACGTGGAATGACTCAATTCGGCTTTGGTTACAGGAGAAATTCAGCTTTTATGAATCCGGTATGAGAGTTATCTTAATTCACCTGAGAACATAATATTATAGTGCTAATCTTAATATCGATTAATTCAAAATCTCGATGTTTTTCTTACAGCACTCGACTTTTCAACAATAATTATTATTATTGTTATTATCACATATTGTGGATACTGCAAATATATTTATTTTAATGGCATATAGATTTATTGTTAATTTTTTACCAACGAGCACAAACCTGCCTAATGACTTTAATACAAAGCATTGTGGATAACAGAAGGCAAATTTGGAGAAAAAAGGAAATATTAGTACAATAAGAATGAAAGTTTCGTAGACATGAAAGGATCGTATTATAGTAATCTAATTAATATTATTAGTTAAAATATGTTTACTGTCATTCTTTCCAAGCTTAAATCAACACATTATTAAATAAATTTTTATTGAATATAATTTTATTTTTTTAGATTCGTATTTCGAGAGCGTCTTTCTGCGTGCTATTTTGCTCTGTTTTCGGAATATGTAAAAACGACTTTATTTTTCCAACAGAAATGCCATGATGCATTGTGAAGGAGACGTGATGCACAAGTTAAACCTAGCTCCCTGGAAAACCAGTAACCCACACTTTGTGGTATCAGGAACTTTATTAGCCGATATTGTCGCAAATGCAAGGAGAGATGTGGGAAGAATTATACAACAAGAACGTGATTTATCATTACAACGTAAGTTTATGTGCTGGTGCAAAATATGGTAAATTACATTCTACATAACAATTTCTTTGAATTTCCTTTCCTTTATAATTCCAAGATGAATTGTTAATTTTTTTTTTTTCCAGAGAGAAACGCAGATCCTCTTTCGCCGGTGGGCACAGCTTTTGGTTTCAATAGGCCAAAGCGACAAGCTGTTGAAATAGCCAACACGTCTTTGATCTTGGAATTTGCATCTGCAAGATTTGTAAATAGCTTCCTACAAAGGTGCGTTCCAATTATATAAAACATTGTATAATTCTCGAAATCTAAGTGCTTTAACAGTTCGAATAACATCTCGTTGATTTATTATCTGGCTTTGAAATTAAAAGCTCACTTAGAATCCTCCTATAATTCAAAACTATTATTTTCAGGATTAATGAAGTACATATTTAAGTATACTAAGGAGTTTAATATATAAAAAAAATCACTTTTAGAGAAAACTTAACTTTCTGGGCATGCATAGCATGCTAAATGTTTAGTTTTTAGCTCTAGTGCTGAAAGTTAGGCAATGCTCAAATGCTTCAAAAGATAGTTTTTGAAGTAAGGACGTGTACAATTTTTCGAAAATTTGAGTATTTCTCTTGCAGCTTTGTGTGATTTTTTGTTTAAACAATTCTTTATTTTGTTTAAAGATTTTTTCTTAAAAATTGCTCCATCGTTTTTTATTAAATCTTGTCGGACAGTCTAATGGACGTTTAAAAAATGGTGTAGTGATCATGTTGGTTGAAAACTCTAATTTTTCGAAAATTGAAAAACTTCAAAATTTTTTCGGCATCTTCGTAAAAATAAAATTATGACCATACATTTTTTAATGAAATGTGTTCACCAAACACTGATCTTCAAATAAGGTCATGATGATTTTTAAAAAAATATGATTGTTTTTTGAGTAATTGCTCGTCAAACTTAGTGGTACGCTCCGAAAATTCTGCGCGTAGTGATTGTAATTTTAGAGGTGTTCTGAGGCAGATAAATGCTACGTAAGTTGGATTGTGTATGTTATTTCAAATTTCTTTGTTCGTTTCTTGCATTGCGCTTTTATATATGTTTACAAATGAATCTTTTAGAAATTATTTAAAACCAATTTCTAATAAACATGAAATAAGATTGCTGGCCTTCAGTCCCCCACTCCCAATTTACGTAGTTTGATGCAACGTAAGTTTGACTTTGTATATTATTTCATATTTCTTTTTTAATATTATTAATTATATTTATATTATAGTTATGTTATTTCATTTAAATTGCGTTCTTTAATAAATTGTGTTCAATGTGAAAGCGAATAGGTGGGCAGTCATTATTGGTTGTTGTAACCCATTGTTGTAACGCAGCAGTGATAACGTAAGGCCATAATGACGGCTGTCTTTCGTTCCCGGTAACATAAACCACAAATTTTTACATATTTGTAGAATATTACAATTCCATAGTGTTTAATAATTACTATTATACATTGTTTGGCCTATTTGCATTTTTTTAGCCAACGCTATCAGTATCGTATCATTCATTAACTTTGAATTATTTTACTTTCTCTCATACTGCCTTAGAAGAATATTATAATGCTAAAAATGTTCGTGAATACACTGCATACGTTACGACCATTGCTAAAGGCGGGAACGTACGCGCTGTTTTAGAATCACTAGTTTTATTTTCTATTAGTATCATTTCATTCACATAGAGTCAATGCGACCACTGTTACTAATTGTTATTAAGCAAGATTTACAATAATTATACAACTGTGTCTGTTAAACAAAATATACCCTTGTACACAATCTTATAAGGTTACTGAACTAGGAGACAGAATCATAATTGCATTAATGCATTTGGAAACTTACAAACATAATCCGCAGAGACAAGACAAAATAATTTACGCAAAAAAGACAAAAATCGAATTATATTGATTAATAAACCAATTTATCATTCCAAAATATGGTACAATTTTGTTCACCGACTGCAAATGTACCCAGTTTCACTGGTATTGCACAGTTCCTTCTAAATATGCTTTTAAGTATATTATATCTTCTACTTAGTATTTCGAATTTGGTATATGGTACTTCTTGATACAGATAGTTAAACAACTAAATTATACTTCCGAATGTTCGCGCCACACGCTTCACGTAACCTCAAAACTGAATCGGAGGAAAGGCAGTCTGACTTGATGCACATCACGACGTCATCGGTTCGGACGGAACAGCACGTGGGGATATTCAGAAGGTCTTCCCTTCGGGCTTTTTGCAAAGCAAGTCCAGTGCGCGTATCCTTACGGGAAACAATGTTATCAACTTTAAAAACGTTCCGTCCGTTCCATACTGAGCCTGTGCACACTAGGTTTAAGTTATCAGGCATACGTAATGTCACGGTGCAAAATTATCTTTTCTTAAGATGACGCTTCGTGACAAAGCAATAAAGAACTTCTAGCATAAAGACGGTAGTTAAATGTGATAGCCATAAAATGTATACACAAAACAAATGATTATTCGTATTAGAACAGTTTCATAAGATCGTAGAAAAAAGTTGATATTTCGTGCAATTATTGTTTCTTGTAATTTTTGTTCTTTTTTTCTTTTCTTTTGAGGGGGGGGGGGCTACTTTAATCTTCCTAAACGACGGCTCAACCTATTGTCTTGGAAAATACCTTATCGCGCTAAAATAAGGTATTAATACTCTATTTTACAAATGCATTACAAATTTGTAAACAAATTTAACCTGAATACTTTATTACATAAATATTAAGAACAGAATCTTACAAAAATCCACTTCCAAGAAGCCACTATCTTCCGTGATGAAAATTAAAAATAAAAGCAGGGGTGAAGTTCTGGATCACAGCTCGCGTTTACCCACTCACATTCTTCTTATCCTATTCTACGGTTGGCGAATACGTTACTTCTGAAAAATACAAGTGTACAATTGGTGAGTGGCGAGCTGACAATTACTACAATACCAATAACTAGAATTAATAAACAATCCACATTTTCATGCACTAGCGAGGCTAAAACAATAATTGAAAGTGCTTCTGGGTACGTAGTTGCGATGTTAGACGAGTTCATCGCGTACACGCCGTTTCAAGTTCCGCCGTCCGACGTTATTCGCGTTTCAAATCGCGCGCCATCTGGATGCATACAGCGTGCAACATTTTCACCTCCGTTTTCAAATTCGTTATTCCATTCGGCAGTGATTCATATTAATTATCTCTTAACTATCCTGATTGTGTGATCATGACTTGAAGGCACTTAAGGACTTTTTGGATTATTCTTAAAAAAATTAAAAATTGTTTGACAATAAACCATTGCAATAGGATTTTTTTCCCTTAATTCCTCATGGACATAACTGTTGTTGTTGTTGAATCAACATCAATAACAATTTACAGAATGTGCATGTTACTTTTTAGCCTTTAAAATTCTGGTTGTTTTTTGTTGCTTCTTTTTTTTGCAAAAAAATTATCATTTATTTTTCGAAAATTGTTAAAAAACATTTAGGCAAATATGGAAATACTCTTTCTTTATTTTAATTTGAAACATAGAATTTCTTGATCAATACAATTTAATAACATGGTATTTTTTTTTTTATTCACTCTTCTGAATATGCATCTTGTCATACTATGTGATGATATTGTATTACAGAGCAGTATAGAATGAAAAAATATTGTTGTTAAATTCACACTCCTTAAAATACCTCTTTTTCATTTGTCTCTAAAATGTGTCTTATTTTAGCCATCTTCAAGATCAAGAGTCAGGTAGGAGTATAGTAACTCCCCGAGATGTACGTGAGCTCATGGCAGTGTTACCTAATGTGGATTTGTCAGACACTTTGGAGATTCCTCGAATGTTTCGTTGTGACGAACAAACTCTACCTTGTGACCACACCAGCAAATATCGCAGTACTACTGGTTGGTGTAATAACCTACAGAGGCCAGAAATAGGCAAATCATTACGAGCATTTAACAGGCTCTTGCCCCCTGCATACCATGATGGTGAGTAAAAATTTTTTTTGTATTATTCTTTCATTTTAAAGGTTAATTGAATTGGCATCTCCTGTTCTGGAGTTAATAAAATAGTAATGAATTATAAAAAATTACAATAAGTGTTAAATTTTATACAATTGAAAATTCTCACATATATTGCCTAAGCTATTGTAAACTACTGTATGCCATAACATTTAAATTTAAGAGGATTTTGTATAATTGTTTTAGGTAATATGATGCATCAATAATATTTTATTTGCTACTTTTCACTAAAATATTTGCCTTTTGAATACACAAATTGCAGGAATTGGCAGTCCCAGAGCAATGTCAGTGACTGGAAAACCTCTACCAAGCCCTCGATTAATTTCTGTAAATGTGCATCCAGACACCAGCCGTCCACATGTTCGATATTCACTAATGTTTATGCAGTTTGGTCAATTGTTGGATCATGATCTCACACATACACCAGTTAATAAAGGTATAAGAAAATAATTTTTAAACTGAAATATAAATGATTGATGGAATGATGTACAAATATACAAATGCAATTTTCTTTCAAGGATTTGTTGGTGAAGCAATTTTGGATTGTCAGCCCTGTGATGCTATGAAATCTGTGCATCCAGAATGTTTCCCTATTCCAGTTCCTGAAGGAGATCCTTACTTTCCTAAAGTTAATATTTCAACTGGAAGACCTATGTGTATCCCTGTGACCCGATCAATGCCAGGACAACTAACATTGGGTAAGATTATTTACGAATTATAAACGTCACAAAATCATGCCAACATTCATTAACATAACATTGTTTCTTGCTTTAGGATACAGAGAACAGTTGAACCAGGTGACAGCATATGTAGATGCATCGTTTGTTTACGGGTCTGATGTATGTGATGCAAATACCCTTCGTCTTTTGGTTGGTGGGAAACTCAACGTCACTAGACATCCAACAAGAGGAAAACCATTACTTCCACAAATTACAACTCATCCTGAATGTAAATCAAGAACAAAAGTGTGTTTCCGAGCAGGTATGTGGCATTATTATTCATATAGAAGTTAACATATAATAAATACGATCAATCAAAATATAGCAAATCAATGGTTATATTGTAATACAGTGTTTTTCTGTATAATAATGCTGAAGTGTTTGCTCAGATCATGATAGCACCAAAATCACAATCGTATGCTCTCACTCTTCCATACCATTACATTTTTAAACAGATTGGAAATTAACTTGACAACAATCAAATAATTACTTCAGAAAAAAAATATAAATAAATAAATAAATATAAAAAAATCAAGCAACAGATCTGCAGAGTTAACTTTCAATAGGTTTAACAATGCAATAGTGTGATACAGTCAGAGTTGCTTTAGAATGTGATTTAGGAGTTATTACGTTTAAACCAAACACCAAAGAATTATTGTTTTGAAATAAAAGTTCCTTTAAAAAATTGAAGTTGCTGTAAATTAAACAAGTCAACAATGACATAGTAATTTAAGCTTATATGTTATTTGTATGCATGGGTTAAAAAAATGGTACCAAACTTTTTTTTTTACCTTTAAATAATTGAAATCTCCCTTTTAGTTTTATTGTCATTCTCTCACTGAATATTTATGGCACATTCATGGAACATAAACGAATCCTGGTTGAAAATCCCTGGTGTAAGATGCTACATTTTCATTCTGACAAATATTTTTTCAATGATTTCAGGGGATGCCAGAGCAAGTGAGCAGCCAGCATTAACAGCCATTCACACGGTTTTCCTCAGAGAGCATAATAGAATGGTGGAAGAACTTGCTTCAATGAATTCACACTGGGGAGATGAAACTTTATACCAAACAGCAAGACGTATTTTGTCTGCTATTACCCAACACATCACATACAGAGAATTCATCCCACGGCTTTTTGGATGGGAAGGATCTCATAAACATGGATTGATGTTGGAATCTGAAGGATACTTCAAAGGTATAAATAACTATTTAATAAATTATTGTAAAGTAATTTTGAAATGCCTTCTACATTAATGATTTTCTCAACCTGGTGATCATTAAAACTATCCTTTCCCACAAAAGGTTACGATGCAACATGTGATCCCACAATAGCAAATGAATTTGCTGCTGCTGCATTTAGATTTGGTCACAGTCTCTTAAAACCAACTTTATTGCGTATGGACACTGCTTATAGTGAACAGCAACCTGGAGTGAGACTCCGAGATACTTTCTTCAATCCTGATGTTCTTTATCAAGCTGGAATGATTGATGAACTTATTCGAGGATTAGCAGGTACACCCATGGAAACTTTGGATCAATTTATTACTGAAGAAGTAACAAATCACCTGTTTGAAGATAGGCGAATGCCTTATTCAGGCATGGACCTGGCAGCTATCAATATACAGAGAGGTTAGTCTTTGTTTTATTCACAGGACAATTTTTTCCAACATCAACAGATAAAAAAAAAATGAGCCCTGCTTCACAATATATTCTATTTTTATGACAAACTTGAACACAAGTTAACAAATCTTTTTATTCCTTGTATTTGGTTTATATGTGAATAATCCGAACCAAAGGTTCACTTTTCTTCGCCACTAATTATTATTTCAACATTAATTATTTTGATTTCATCACGTTTGCCTTGTTTCTGACAGTTACCAATTAAAGTGTTAATGTGTTCATTAGTTTTATTATCATTACCTATTTTTATTTAAGGTGTTTTACTTCTATATAATACTTAATAATTCAATTTGAAAACTTACTTAATTAATATAAAATAAAAAAATCAGTATGTGACTGGGCATGACATACAATACGTGCAACTTTCTTTAATTATCATACAAGATCTTGTGTTTAAATAAATTTTGTATATGAAAATACACACAAGATCAACATAATTTTCTATTAAAGTGCCATCACTTAAGTCACCATTACAGACTGTTACTAAGTAAAATACAATAGTTGGAAAAATGCTCTCCACAATTTCTCCTCTCCAAAAATGCTCTCCACATGCTCTTTTACTATCTCACATTTTGACATAGTGATGACATTTTGCTGAGTTTCTTGATATGAAAATAAAATCTAATTTAAGGCACATTTTTCATTTGTAGGTCGAGATCACGGAATACCTGGATACAATCAGTACAGAAAATTTTGTAATCTCACATTAGCACGTGATTTTGATGATTTGAAAAGAGAAATACCATCTCCAGTAGTCGAGAGACTGAGACGATTGTACTTACATGTAGATGACATAGATCTCTTCCCAGGAGGATTAGCTGAAACACCTCTAATGGGTGGCGTGGTGGGACCCACATTCGCATGCATTATAGGACACCAGTTCAGGTTATTGCGGAAATGTGACAGATTTTGGTATGTTTCAGTTTCTATTTCAACTAGTCATTCATCATTGAATTTTAACAAATTCAGTAATAATGTCTCTTCTTAGGTATGAAAATGATGATCCTCTAGTCAGATTTACAGAAGCTCAGTTGGCTGAGATTCGAAAAATTACCCTCTCAAGGCTTGTGTGCGACAATTTGGATCGTGTGGATACCATTCAGAGGTCACTGCTGGATTTGCCAGATCCATTTTTGTAAGTGATCACTCCTTAACATTTTAACGTACTTGAATGACAATGCAACTCTTCCTGGTTTCTATTGAGGCTACATTTTTCAGAAATCCACGAGTGCCTTGCAAATCTATCCCTTCCTTGGATCTAAGTTTATGGAAGGAAAGACAATCTTGTACAGTTGGTCATGTTGTCATTGATGTGGGTTCTGCAGAAAGGATATCTCCATGTGTAATGTGCACCTGCACAACAGAAGGGGTAAGGCATTTGCATTAGAATGTTGAATGTATTGTTGTCTATTGGAAATTAGACCAAGAACTTTGTTTCAGTGCCTAGCATTGTGTAATAATCTAACTTTGTTGTTTCCAGCCAATTTGTCAATCATTGAAAATTGGGAACTGTTTCACTTTGGCACAAACATTCACTCCCACAGCAGTACTCAACGACCATGTCTGCAAAGTCCAATGTGCATTTGTTTTCCGTGCCTTACCACATATAACAGATACCTTTAACAATCAGCTGGGTTTCAGCTAGCTTTAAAATAACTCAATGTAACAAACCGATACAAACTGTAGCGGATGAATTATACCTTGGCAAAGTGCTATGGGTAGGACAGCATGACACATATTGTGTTATTTGAAGACGCATGCAGTGAAGTGTGTATTTATTTTAAAATTTTTTATGAGTAAGTAGTGTCTAACAAACACTGGCCATTGTGAAATGCCCGATGCTGAGCTTCACAAGCAAAAATCAAAAATATTTACTTAAAACTATTTTATTATCAAATACAAAATATGATTCATCAGTAACAAAATTCAACAAAATCTTAAAAACGAGTATCTTTAAGCACATCCAAAAATAGTGTACAATAACAAATATATAGTATAATACAACTTCACATTCAATGTAAATTAACAACCGTGTATAAAATACTACACCCAGAATCTCTGGGCATTAATATGTGCCACAGAGAGCAAACCATGTACATTATGTAGAATCAGCATGAAGTATAGATATAGTGACAACAATTGTAAATAAGAAATGTCTTTATAATCAGTTTTGTAGGCATCTGTATTCTCAAAGAGCAGTGATCTACTAAAACGTGTATTGTTTGCCACAGTGTGGCTGAAATATATACCAAAAAAAAAAAAAGTGAAATATTTATACATAAAAACCTATTGGCAGCAGTTCATTGCTATTTCGTTCCTGATGCAACAAATCATGAAGAAATAATGTACATTATGTTGACATTCCCTGTATGTGAAATGCATTTTCTCCTGGTTCTCCTACAGGATTCCAGCATCGTGAAAACATTCTGATTTTATACATAGAGTCAGCTGGTATATTATTTTTTTATGTTGACATTGACTCTATGGTATGCATTTCCACAAACTCCTCTGAGATTCCAAATGTTCTCAAAACGTTCTGGTTGCACGTTGTATGAAGAATCAACAGCCTTAGCCCATATTTCTACCTATCATGGACAAACATAATCAAATTAGAAATAACAGAAAAGACTTGTCAGTTCAATCAACCATACATCCGTATTGGGAGTGAATAAAATGTTAAGTCACATTTCCCTACTTTTCAAGTTGCAACTTAAATAGCCTCCTTACTAATAACAGAAATTCTAAGCCAATATAAACGTTGAGAAGTAACTAGCTTTGGGGTACATTTTACCAAATATCATCAATTAACTACAAAAACTCAAGTTTACACAAGTGAGCAAACTAAAAGTTGTGCCTGGAAAAATAAGTAAATTTGATTTAACTTCATATTCACTGCGTATTCAGTCTCTTAAAGTCCAAAATATATTCCAATATACCTTCTTCACATTTTGAGTGACAGGAATTTCAGCCTTCCAGAGCGTCCAGGCCCAATGATAAGGAACTTTATTATCATTCTGATCTGTAAAATCTGCAACATGCCATGTTTTTCCACCATCAGCAGTCACATCCACCCTGATAATTCTTCTGCCTCCCCCTGACCAAGCATAACCTGAAAATTTTCTGGTATGTAATTAACAAAAACAAACAGGAATTTATATTTGAATTTGAAAATTACTTTCAAGATACACAAACCTCTTACGACCAGCTTGTTGTTCTCTAACTTCACAGTTGCACCTTCCAGAGGTTCACAAATAGCAGATACAACAGGGAGCTCCTGAATAGCAGGTGCCTTTGAGAAGTCAACAGTATCCCAATCAACACTGGGAGAAAATCCTTTATAATCATTTTGCTGCCAATGTGAATCACTTTCTACCTCAGACACAACTATCCTTCCTGAAATAAATTAACAACCTTAATGTATTGCTAAAAACATTCAATACAAAAGTGTATTATTAACACAATGCTAACCTACCCAACCACTTCACATTTCGAGCTCCAACAATTCCAGGCACAATAACTCGAACAGGGAATCCATGATCTTTGGGGATAGGTTGACCATTCATTTCATATGCTAGAATCACATCTCCACGGGGATCTAATGCTTTCTCAGCAGGTATTGATGCACCATAAGGAACATGAGCTGAATCAGTATCCAGGCCTTCAAACTACAAAATATTTTGGCATTGTTTAAATTTTATTATTTGAAGGCAATTGCTTTGAAATCCACAAAGCAATAGATAAATTTATTTTAAAATTATATGTAACATTGCAATTCCTTCTTGATTAGCAAGGTTTGCCTGCATTTTCAATATTGATTAGCAAACCTTTGCACACATTTATTTATTTTTAAAACATTACTATTTGGTGATAATACTGGAAGGAGGAGAAAAACAGTATTTCATTGCCCAAAGAAAATAAACTTTGGGACAGCAAAAAAAAAGCATTTTTCTTTGTTTATTGGAGTTACCTCTACGTAAACTGCAAATATTAACATTTAAAGAAGCATAAGCAAGTAAATTAACAATATTACTCACTTGAATGTGTTGAACTTTCAGATTATTATCTTTGAATCCTGATGCCTTGAGAACATCAATTAACCGTGCTCCTGACCACGTGGCATTCCCAATGGCAGCTTGACCCCAGTTAAGACCTTTCACTGGCTTCACCTACAAACACAATATTACAGTGCATTTGAAATACTAGTAAAATAATGCACTTGGACTAAGGAATAACAGACTTTAACAAAAGTAAGAACATCCAGACAATTTTAAATGGTGTTGAACATTTATGAGAAAAAAACAATCTATATATTTTAAATATTTAAAAAGGCTTTTTTTGTACAAAGGAAATGTAAAGCAGTAATGCACACATTCAAATCAATGAATGCATTCTACATTCAAATTACCTTCGAAATGGTCATTTTAAAATTGTAAATTAATTTACAAATCAAAAGCCGTAAGTACCAAAATTCTGCCATTTCTTGCAAATTTGTGTATACTTACATTTACCATTTCACTTCTTCTATTGCCAGCACATTGAATGGTGGCAGTGACTGAGTACTTAGGAAACTTTTTGAGGTCGTCAAGATTAAAAGAAGAGTTCTTTACACATAAACCACTGACTTCTAGACTGTAAGACTTTTCATCAACTTCTGGAACAGGTAAATGATTTCGAACGTAGAAGAGGTCACTGAAAGGTGAAGCAAGTTCCCACTTACAATTTCAATATAAAATATTTACAATAAGAATTATAATACATCAATCATAAAACACCACTCAAAACCTACGAAGGAGTGATAAAACTATCCACTAGCAATGTCATAGGAGGTTCAGCATTGAAAGGTTTTAAACTACTTGGTTTCAAAGCTGGATGCCTTCGTGGTTCAAATGCATATGGATCTTCCATATCTGCTATTGAAACAGATGCTTCTTCTTCAGAAAGATTTCCTAGTAAAAAATGCAGAAATATAACACTTAAAAACATTCCACATTAGTTGACATCCACATTCCCAGTTCAAATATACATTCACTGAAATACGTGCATTTGTGTCTTGGTATTTAGACTTGCCTATTCTGTATTTCTCTAAAATAGCTAGGACTCCAGGAGTCTTGTGAACACCATACAAGAGCCAAAATGGTTCAACAGATCCTCCTGCTGCCATGCTAATCTTTTCATGTCCCCCGGGATGCTGATCTACAAAGTTTGTAATATCATACACGCCTTGCCGAAATGTGACCCATATTCCATCTTCCTTGGAAGCATGAGTAGCAACTTCATCTAGAGTGTATGTTGGAAGACCACATTTAAAACTTCCTGCAGATACATTTCCCAATTCTTTTGATGCATTTTGAAGATGCTGTCGTTTTGTACCTAAAAACATAAGCTAAATCAATGAGTGTTGTAAATCCAAATGATTACCTATAAAACAATGCATACCGTTCCGTAATTACCTTCAATGAAATAATACACTCCAGCAGCAGTAGCAATTCCGCCAATGGCAAGAACGGTGGCACCATAACCTTTACTTTTTGTTTCTTGATTAGAATTTGAGGCAAATGAGGCTTTATTGAATTCATGTAAGGGAATTTGAACCTGACACAACAAACCTTGCCACCTGATAATGAAAGCTACAGATAGATTATTACGTTTAAATAACACTTCACTATTTATTCACAAGTGATTAATTATGAATTTTACGCAATGCCAAAACAGAATTATTTTCAATATTCTTTACACTTGAAAGATCAACAGCTAATAATTATTAATCAAGTCACTAATAGATTTTACCTGCGCAAAACGAATCTACTTGTATGTAATACAGTAGATAAAGGTGTCATGTTGAAACTATCGTAAATCTCACTTATTATCGATAACAGAACAGTCACACGCAGGGCACACACATTCGCAAAAACTGATGGCGTGTAATGAAAGGTCACTGGGGAGTTCTTAGATCATGACTCGAGACTGCTACGAGCACTTCTGAAATAACTTAGCGAATGGTTTATTCTTCGTGTTTTGTAAGTTGTTTTGGTACATGACATGACTTATCCGCTTATTAGCATGCATTCTTGAGGTGTTCTTGAAATGTTGGGAAGCGAGCAAACCGCGTATTGCGTAAAGGGAGAATCGAGATATCGCCAGAATATCGCTGCATTCGATTTCACGATTCCGCGTTCTATCGTAATTTTAGTTCCACCCTTCATCAACAGATGGCATACGTAGAAGAAAATAGTAACTTAGCAGTCGAGAAACCGATACCATTTCTACGGCCATATCTCATTTGCAACGCTACGGCCACATCTCATTTGACAGATGATTGGCGACAAGAAATCGCAAATGACCAAATAGATTGGCAACCAGCAACAAGAGGCAAGGATGCAGGAAGTGACCTGAGAGTGGCATGCGTGCGTTCTACGAGAGTCGTATTTTCCCGCCGCGTGGCGCGCTGTGGCTGTCGCGCGCAGACGACCTTGCGCGTCCTTGTCACGTCGGGGGCGGGCCGCACAGACGGGGCCGGCGCGGCGCGCGGAGAGCCTTGATAGGGGCTGCTTTGGCACGTCGGCCCGGCTCCTCCACCCGCCATCGCATCCAACTCTCCGACAAACAATTCTCCTGACATTACTGTAAGCTGCAAAAGAGGTAAGTTTTCTGACGTAATGCACCTTTTCGATTTCAACAAAAAATATATAATGTATCACCTGTCTTGTGTCATCAAAAATTCGTGTGCCATCCTCCAGTTTTACGTTGATAACGTGCATTGTAATGAATGTCAACTTAAAACGGTAATTTTTTCATAATTGCAGAGTAATTTCTAATGCTGGCATAACATCAAAACGGCCTTCGACTGATTGCTTCTTCAGTAAACGTACAGTTTTTATCGCATTTGTGAGTTGTGCGGAAGTGGTGTTTATTGACATGCGAAGAATGTTGTGTCGTACGTGACTGCCGTATAACTCGTATGAGTATTTGTTCATCTGCAGTGAATTTTTGTACTATTTGCTTCTATCGACAAAGTTTATGCATTAGTATACTATAAGCGAGTGAATCTACGGGAAAATTGTGGCGTCCATTCAAATTTCGTGCGGGTTCTGGGCAAAGTGACAGTCAGCTGATACTTGTGCGTGCGTGTGAGTGAGGAGGTGCTATTTTTGACATAACGCTCTCTTTTGTATTTGGCATTTCGCCACCAGATGTGTTACGGTGAGAAGGGGAACTGGTGTCACGAAACAATTTCCTGTGTCTGGAATGTATCCAGAGGGTCTTCTGCTCGATGCTATTTTTGGTTTCATCTCTCGTTGCAAGACCGATCGACAGAAACATTATTTTGTTGTTTACTTCTTGTGATGTTTGTGGTCTCTTGAGTTACCTTTAAACTTCAGCAAGTAGCATGAATAAAAGTGGCAATTAAGTGTATTGTCATTCCTTAAAAACACTTTTTATTCAAATTAAGTGCAATTGTATTGAATATTCCCTTCCATAAATCATTTAAATCGGTGAACGTGCATCAAATTGCAGATCCTTCCTTCTGTAGACAAAAATAAAGATATAAACGATCGCTTCTGTTTCCTTGCTCTTGTGAACTTCAGTGTCTAAGGTAAGAGACCAATTAAATGCGAGACTACAACAATTTCACAATGCGTCACTTAGAATAACTTCAAACTGAATCACACTGGCGATGAAAACATCCAAGGGATTTTGAGTTGTTGCAATCGCAGATTAAACGAGTCTGAAAAGACTCTTCATAAATTGTTTTAGAGTTAGTACATTGCTTATTCGATGTTCATTTTTTGTGAATGAAGGAATAAAAGATACCTGCATTACTAGGACCGAACTGATCATCTTGAAAATCATGGCAAATCTCCGAGAAATCGGTCGAAGGGAACTATAGTATTAAATTATGTTTGTTGAGTGTGACTATTTATTCATTAAAATGATGGAGAAAGTATCGAAAAAATTATTATGTTTCATTTAATCAAACGACTTTTAGAAGATGGTTACTGAAATGAAGACATTTCTCTCATGCAAATCTTGAGTTCAGAAATCAAATATTATTGAAGGGTGAAATCACGCTAATAACAATAGGATAACACGTCTTACAAACCATATTAAATAAAACGATAACATAGTTTAAAAAATAGTTCGAGTAAATTGAAATAAGAATCATATTAATTTTAATATTTTTCTGCAAAGTTTTGATTTTATCCTGCATAACATTCTTGGGGCCTGAACGTAATGAAAAACAGGACCACATTTCCCCACTATGCCCTTGCTACATAGCACTATATGAAATTTTTACCAGTTTATGAAGAATAGTTGAGTTTGGTATGAATATAAACGTTACCGCCTTTCCAAAATAACATCATTTCCAACTTTATAAAATTATTTAGAATTTAGAATTTTTCTTTAACCATTAGAATTCTTTCACTGTCAGGCTTAATACCTTCATGTACGAAGAAGAAACTTTAAAAGGTTCTCGAAAGATGTTTCCCGACGTTCGTCAGAGGTATGCAGTACGAGCTGAGCTGGTGCGATTTCTTGACATGGAAGCTGTTCCAATCTCATTTTGTACTGCTAACCGTTGGTTTGCTCTTCTGGCTACATCTATACTCAGCAGAATTGTAAATATTTCACTGGGATCAGTTTGAACGTTTTGTGACTACTTGCTTGGTCAACGTTTGAAACCGGTCAGCGTTTGAGGAAAAAATAAGCTCTGGTGCTCAAAACGTGAAGTGTGTAACAGTTATATTCTGCGAGCAAATGCAAAGACTGGTGATGAATGATCACATCATTGTGTATTTTAACTGGTGTTTGATATTACTCACGTTCATTCTTCATAAAGATGAATAGTAACAAGCGCTCTCTCCGAGAGCGTGGAGGAAACCTGTGTGCTTACGAAGACAGAATTTAACGTTAAAACGTAGTTAAAACTGTGAAGTGTAATCTGTGCTCGTTTTCGTGATATATGGAATCTCTTCCCTAGTTCTTACACTATATTAAGTTGAATTATTAATACCAGCAGCAACGAGTGTTTCTGGCAAGATTTAATAACAAGAAGTATCGCTCTTATGTAATAATATTTATGCACTAAGGGCGTTATAAGGCTTCTAATAATCGAGCAGTAACCAAATGTCCGAGGATCATTAGAAACAGTTAACGCTCGTGGTACATAAATAATTTTATTTTTTCTCTAATTTTATTGATTCAGGTTTACTAATTAACAAATCGTTAACTTGACCCGATTTGTCTTTTCATATTTCCCTCCCACAATTCCCTCCACAACATGTAACATCATTCAACGGTTTTCATATTTCCCTCGTAACCACAATCTTTTCTATCCAGGTAAGTTATGCAGTATATATCCAGCCCCGTATCGATGGCAATAAAAAGTTATAACGTAGCAGTAAAAATAAAAATTGTTTGCAGCAGCAAATGAGCTATAGATTTTGGCTCTTTCTGTCATGCCCCACGTAAAGGAATTGCTTTATACCGCAAGAATATGGAGAAAGATAATTTGAATAAGTTATTATTTTTGTCGCTAACACCTCAACGAAGAAAATATGCGCAATGGAGATACTTATTTCTAGATGCAAAACAAACGGCCATCTCTATATTTGCTCTATGAAGCTGGGAAACTAGGAGAAAAAACTGATCGAATTCGAGGATTAAACGTTCTGGTCTAGCAAGACACCCTCTTCCCGTCACCCACTACATATACATTAAGGTGAAAGATCCTTTGCATTTTGTTGCTAGCAGTATCAAGAATGCTGACCGAGAGAGAAGGCTCAAGCATCAACTGAGGACTGTTACTGCAGTGCCTCTGACCGAGAGGTCCTAGATTAGAGTCCCGACGGTGGCAGGATTTTCGACACTAGCGTCATAACTAATTCGAATTAAACCGGTGTCTGGAGGAGAATTCTAGCGGCCGGCTGCTCTGATCGGTAGTTTTCACTGGTTTCTCCGATCAACACCAGGCGAATGCCGGAGCAGTATCCTAACAAACGGGCCACGGACCGTGTGGGATCTTTCCTTTCTCTTCCTTATCATATCCTCATACCTTACTTAAAAACACTTAAACTTACGTGCACTACACTTCCACACATACCGGGAGACCTGTCGGGAGCTTAGAGCTTTTCCAGGCTGAGGCTGTGCTCCTCTGGTGGGAGATACCTGCTCGGGGAAAATTTTTTTAGCCGACCTGCAAGAGTTTTTTCACTATCCATCAAGAGATCACCGCCACCCCCCAAGGAAACCGCCGCACTACACCCACGGGACCAATGAATTTAGCAGTTGAGGCGCCCGAAATCACTAATCAATCACCACGAATGCTGATTTGTAAAATGTGTATGCCATACAAATCCAGCAGACATTGTTGCTTTGACAACTTCGCACTGGCAATAGAAGGCGGTAATGCCGACCGCAGCTGGTTCTCAAAGAATTATAAATTATCAACTAATAATTATTATAAACCAATAATTTGCTAACTATCTCTAACTATTTACGGCTTAAACATGCATCGGACATCCTTGGTACATTTATTTAGAATGTGAATGCATTGAATTCAATAACAATATACAAGTACATAACCATCGAAATCCAAGTGACGAATGTAGGCAGTGGTGTGTTAAGCAAGTGTTGAAAGTGCATTTTCTTATTAATGTTTAAGATATACACCATCCTGACCGGAAAGGGTAGCTCAGGGCATCGACTGATGTCACTGCAGCGTCTCTGACCCTAGTCCTGGGGTTAGAATCGAGGGGGGGGGGCTCTGGCGCATATTATCCGACTTCAGACAATGAGCTTCAGACACCAGTTTGCGTCACAATATTAGCGGGAATTTTAAATGAAGCCAGATACCAAAATTATCACCTTGTTACAAGACATTGAAACATGTTTTTGAAGCATTTCTTTAAATATTTCATCTTATACACCTTCATCATGTTATTTTTGGTTGGTTACTGTTAAAAAATTGTCACTTTGTATTACTTTCAAAATGTTTTTAACTTTTCTCGCTCTCCATTAAACATGGCTGCGATCGGTTTGTTTTTCTTTTCCAACGAGTTAGAGATACACTACGTATCTCTAATTCGTCGGACTTTTCAAACGAAGTGCCCGTGCTGTGGTGACGTGGTTCGTGACGCAAAGTAGTGTTGCGCAGAACGAGCAAAAATCGTTGCGCCGGAGGAACTCGCCCATGTATTTCCACTATGGTTAGAATCCTGTCGGTGTGGAAGGATTTTCGATTCCAGCTTGTCGACCAACTCGAATTCAGTCGCTGTATGGAGGAGAACTCTAGCGACCGACTGACCTGATCGGTAGTTTTCCGTGGTTCCTCCTACCAACACCGGGCGATTGCGGGAACAGTTCTCTAACAAACGCGCCACGGACCACTCGCGATATTTCCTCCCTCTTCCTTATATTTTCCCCACCTCTTAC